AAAAAACCCCAATTTATTCCCGTTTTTACTCAAAAAACCCCACAATTTATCGTCATTTATTTAATTATTCTCTCTTCCGGTCATTATTCTCTCATCCCTCCCCACCCGGGAGGAAAAACAAGGTGATGGGAGGGTTGAAATGTAAAGAGATTTAATAAAATCGCTCAATTTCACTGAATTATTTTTTTTTTTTTTTCACTGAATTTGTAGAGTTGGAAGGGACCATAGAGATCATCTAGTCCAACTCCCCTGCTGAAGCAGGATTGCCTAGAGCTAGAATAATTATTCACATTAATACTACTAAAAAACCTAATATATCCCAATATCGACATAAAACATCCAAGGATTACATTAATTAGGATTATTTAGGATTATTATTAAGATTATTATTATTTAGGATTATGGATCAGTGGGAAGCTCCCAGCAAATGTTGGGTTTGGGGAGGAAGGGAAAGGAATTGGTGAAGAATTCCCGGGATCGCAGCTGGAACGGAAGAGGAAAAAACTCCCTTTTTCCTCTTTTCCTCCTCAAAATTTCCAATTTATAGAAAAAGTGATGTTGGTGATGTGAAATAACCCTCGTTGGAAGGGATTATTTCCCCTCGTCGTCCCCGTGAGCTCCAAAACACCGAGGCCTTGAATCCCGCATCCCATAATTGACTATAAAATTGATATTTTTTCCCCAATTCAGACCTTGGAATCGTTAAAAAATGGCAATTTTCCCAGCGTTGAGTGTTTTTTTGTACCAAAAAGTGAAATTTTGGAAGAGAAACGACTCCCACGTCTCTCAAACCGAGAGAGAGGGTGGGGTGGGATGGGAGAGGAGGTTTTTTGGGGACTTTGGGGATGTGGTGGTGGGGGTGGGGGACAGACCCCCCCTCTGAGGGGGGTTTTTTGGGGTGTCCTCAGGTGAACGAGGCAGAGGAGGAGCGGCTGCGGAGCGAGCGGGAGCACCAGCGCGTCACCCAGCTCTGCCAACAGGCCGAGGCCAAGGTCCAGGCCCTCCAGAAATCCCTCAAACGCGTCATCGTCAAGAGCAAACCCTACTTCGAGCTCAAAGCCCAGTTCAACCAGATCCTGGAGGTAACTGGGAAAGGCGGGGGGGACAGGGGACATGACTGGGCTGGCGAGAGGTTCAGGGGGTCCCATTTTTGGGGTGTATCCTGCTGTTTCTGAGGATGAGGATGGAGATAAAGAGGTTGGCACCCCTTATTTCGAGCTGAAAGCCCAGTTCAACCAGATCCTGGAGGTAACTGGGAAGGAGGGAAGGAAGGGAAACGACTGGGTTGGTGCTCACCCACCCTGCGGCTCACAAGGGGTTCAGGGGGTCCCATTTTTGGGGCGGATCCCGCTGTTTTTGGGGAAGAGGAGGGAGAAAAAGAGGTTGGGGGGTGCCTGGGAAGGGCACCTCCTCTTTTGACCTGAAAGCCCAGTTCAACCAGATCCTGGAGGTAACTGGGAAGGGTGGTGAGGGGAGACATGACTGGGGTGGTGGTGGGAAATGTGACTGGGCTGGTGAGGTGCTCGGGGATCCCATTTTTGGGGCGGATCCCGCTGTTTTTGGGGAAGAGGAGGGAGAAAAAGATGTTGGGGGGTGCCTGGGAAGGGCACCTCCTCTTTTGACCTGAAAGCCCAGTTCAACCAGATCCTGGAGGTAACTGGGAAGGGTGGTGAGGGGAGACATGACTGGGCTGATGCTCACCCTTCCTGGGGCTCATGAGGGGTTCAAGGATCCCATTTTTGGGGCGGATCCCGCTGTTTTTAGGGATGAGGAGGGAGAAAAAAAAGTTGGGGGGTGCTTGGGAAGGGCACCTCCTCTTTCAAGCTCAAAGCCCAGTTCAACCAGATCCTGGAGGGAACTGGGGAGGGCTGGGGGGACAGGGGACATGACTGGGCTGGTGCTCACCCACCCTGGGACTGGTGGGACGTTCGGGGGGTCTCATTTTGGGGCGTATCCCACTGTTTTTGGGGATGAGGAGGGAGAAAAAAAAGTTGGGGGGTGCTTGGGAAGGGCACCTCCTCTTTCAAGCTCAAAGCCCAGTTCAACCAGATCCTGGAGGTAACTGGGGAGGGCTGGGGGGACAGGGGACATGACTGGGCTGGTGCTCACCCACCCTGGGACTGGTGAGACGTTCGGGGGGTCTCATTTTGGGGCGTATCCCACTGTTTTTGGGGATGAGGAGGGAGAAAAAGAGGTTGGGGGATACCTGGGAAGGGCACCCCCTCTTTTGAGCTGAAAGCCCAGTTTCACCAGATCCTGGAGGTAACTGGGAAGGGCTGGGGAGACAGGGGAGACATGACTGGGCTGATGCTCACCCACCCTGGGGGTCACAAAGGGTTCAGGGGGTCCCATTTTTGGGGCGTATCCCTCAGTTTTTGGGGGTATCCCACAGTTTTGGGGGATGAGGAGGGAGATAAAGAGGTTGGCACCCCTTATTTCGAGCTGAAAGCCCAGTTCAACCAGATCCTGGAGGTAACTGGGAAGGGCTGGGGAGACAGGGGAGACATGACTGGGCTGATGCTCACCCACCCTGGGGCTCACAAGGGGTTCAGGGATCCCGTTTTTGGGGCGGATCCTGCTGTTTTTGGGGAAGAGGAGGGAGAAAAAGATGTTGGGGGGGGTGTGGGAAGGGCACCCTCTCTTTCGAGCTGAAAGCCCAGTTCAACCAGATCCTGGAGGTAACTGGGAAAGGTGGTGGGGGGAGATGTGACTGGGCAGGTGCTCACCCACCCTGGAGCTGGTGAGGGGTTCAGGGGGTCCCATTTTGGGGTGTATCCTGCTGTTTCTGAGGATGAGGATGGAGATAAAGAGGTTGGCACCCCTTATTTCGAGCTGAAAGCCCAGTTCAACCAGATCCTGGAGGTAACTGGGAAGGGGGAAAGGAAGGGAAACGATGGGGCTGGTGCTCACCCACCCTGTGGCTCACAAGGGGTTCAGGGGGTCCCATTTTTGGGGCATATCCCGCTGTTTTTGGGGATGAGGAGGGAGAAAAAGAGGTTGGGGGATACCTGGGAAGGGCACTCCCTCTTTTGAGCTGAAAGCCCAGTTCAACCAGATCCTGGAGGGAACTGGGAAGGGGGGAAGGAAGGGAAACAATGGGGCTGGTGCTCACCCACCCTGGAGCTGGTTAGGGGTTCAGGGGGTCCCATTTTGGGGCATATCCCGCTGTTTTGGGGATGAGGAGGGAGAAAAAGAGGTTGGGGGCTACCTGGGAAGGGCACTCCCTCTTTTGAGCTGAAAGCCCAGTTCAACCAGATCCTGGAGGGAACTGGGAAGGGGGGAAGGAAGGGAAACAATGGGGCTGGTGCTCACCCACCCTGGGGCTGGCGAGGGGTTCAGGGGGTCCCATTTTGGGGCATATCCCGCTGTTTTGGGGATGAGGAGGGAGATAAAGAGGTTGGCACGCCTTATTTCGAGCTGAAAGCCCAGTTCAACCAGAATCTGGAGGTAACTGGGAAGGGTGGTGAGGGCCCATGACTGGGCTGATGCTCACTGTCCCTGGGGCTCATGAGGGGTTCAAGGATCCCATTTTTGGGGCGGATCCTGCTGTTTCTGAGGATGAGGATGGAGATAAAGAGGTTGGCACCTCTTATTTTGAGCTGGAAGCCCAGTTCAACCAGATCCTGGAGGTAACTGGGAAGGGTGGAGAGGAAAGACACAACTGGGCTGGTGCTCACCCTCCCTGGTGCTCATGAGGGGTTCAAGGATCCCATTTTTGGGGCAGATCCTGCTGTTTTTGTGGAAGAGGAGGGAGAAAGAGAGGTTTGTGGATACCTGGGAAGGGCTGAGGCCTTCCCTTCAGGCCGAGGTGACCTCGGTGGCCGCTGTCCCCAACCCTTTCCAGGAGCACAAGGCCAAAGTGACGGCGCTGGAGAGGCTGGTGGCCCAGGCCAAGACGCGGTACTCGGTGGCCCTGAGGAACCTGGAGCAGATCAGCGAGCAGATCCACGCCCGGCGCCTCCAGCGCCTCATCCTGCGCCGGGCCTCGCCGGTGGGAGCCGAGGCCAGTCCCCAACATGGCGGGAGCGAGGTGGGGGGGACGGGGGGGACGCGGTTGGGGACGGAGTGTCCCCAGGGTGACACCCTCTCGGTGCTCAGCCTCCAAACCATCGCCTCCGACCTCCAGAAGTTCGACTCGGTCGAGCATTTGGTAGGCCTCTCGGACGCCACCAGCCTCAACAGCGACGAGCTGGAGGAGCGGGAGCAGCGCCGGGGGGGGCAGGGGCATTTCAAACACCACAGGAGCATCAGCCTTTAACCCCCCCCCCCACCACACGATCCAAAGCCCCACCGAGGGAAGGACTATGCACCG